TCAGTACCGTTATTAATGTTCTTACACATAATATATTCCAGCAGTGATCGAAATTAGAGTTGTTACTTTTTATGCGTATGAAATAGCCTAACACTATTACAGTACTAAAATAGCAACAATTATAGCATTAAGCGCCCTCAGAAATACAAAAACAAATGCTGCAGCATTTAAAAAATTTAAACATGAAATACCATGCCTGGTAAGGAAACAAAACACATGAGTCGTAGCGGAGCAGAGAAATACGTACTTATTTCACACGCATGTAAAATTAGATCTTATTAATTCTTTTTATCAGAACTATGATGAAAGCTACGGATATTCTAAGAAAGGGTTTTTTTAAACGCTTTTCGTGTGGGGACTCACTAATATTTACGAAAATTTTGTGGGACCCCCATGAGCACTGCACAAATCCGACACATGCGTGAGTGCAACTATCAGTTTATAGACTTGTACTGTAATATGCTATTGCAATTTTAGGTCTAATTTTTAAAGTAAAATAAATGTTTCTATTATAAGAAAAATGCGTCGAAACGTTTTCGTTTTTTCTTTGTCTATATTGTCTTATCTTTATCTATTTTCAAATGCACTATGTAAAAGCATTTGGTTATTGTGAAATTATTATAATAAGTTAAAGAAATATCAAAATTGTTAAATTTTTGGCGACCCCCAATTGCAAGTCCCGCAACCCCAGTTAGAGTCGCTACGTACAATTTAAGAAACTCTGTTCTAAGATATATTTCCTAATGCATATAAAAGTAATTTATTGATACTGTTAAATTTGAGAAACGGTAATAAAAATTAATGTCATATTTGGATTCAAAAGTTTGAAATCTATGAGAACACCTCGAAAAAAATTTGCAAGAAGTAAAAATAAAATTAGCATTAGAAAGAACACCACTAATTTTATGCTACCCTGTACTGTGCCCTATTTAATAGCTTCAAACGCTGTTTAAAAGAGTTTAAGCATGTTTTTGATTAATTTTACCCTATTTTTTTAACTAACAATAATTTAGTGATAACTTCTTTTTTTTTAACTTCTTTTTTCTTAAAAAAATTAAATATTTATTTGGAGTCAAATAGGATCTACATCTTAGTTCTGCTTTCTAGAATTTTGCCCATCAGGGGTTTGGTTTTAGTTTGGTTGATGTGGCAAAGCACACGAGGGCTGCGAACCCAATGAGATGAATGCTTTCGTGGAGGAGGTTTTAAAGGAAAGCAGCTGATATTCACGTTACACATGGGAAAAACCACATGAAAACGCCCATGCAGCCAGCTAGCTCGCCAGATACTGGCTTTATTTGATTCTGATAAAGCACTCGAGTACTATCTGCCTTAGGAAAGGTTGAGATTTGAGTGTAGGTCTAACTATCAGCTTTCAGTGATTTTGCTGCTCGGCCCCTGATGAGCCGTTGCCATTAGCAGCCGAATGGTATAATTCGCTGAAAGCTGGTTTCCATTGACTTTTGTCTTTGCAATCCAATTTCCCTTTAAATGCTTTCCACAAAGGCATTTCTCCCATTAGGCAGAGAGTCGAGGTGGGTTTTACCATAATATAAATAATCTAGTCTTTCAAAAATGAAAACTGAACGCAACCTACGTATTATAGTGCAAGCTGTCAAACGAGGTCGTCTATTTTATTCTTTATATCTTGCCTTTTTATCCTTTCTACATTTTTTGAGGGATATAATTTGAATTATTGCCCCTTAAAAATTTTACCGTATTTACTCGCGTAATAGTAGCACATTTTTTTGCCAATTTTTTTCATTGTGAAAGTCTTGGTGCCACTATTATGCGGGGAAATCTACTACACAATATATTTTTTTCTACTTCAAAACGGGGTTGCGACTATTACGCGATTAAATACGGTAATTTGGAAGATTGCTACTTCTCCCTTTCATTACGATTTGAACATTTGAAAAACTATTCTGCTGCTTTGTGTGTTTTGTGGAATAAACAGTTCAGTACTATATTCTAAATTGTTTCAACTGTTTAAATGGTGTTTTTAGTTTTGTTCTTCATTTCCAGTATCAGAAATATAGCATTTCAGAATTTATTTGAATGACTTAATTTTCTGAAAACTCCAAGAAGATATCATTAATAGTCACTTTAACTTGGGTCCCTCCTCCCCCCCTTTTTTTTTTACTTCTTAGCAGCAACAGTCTTCAGGGAACAGCAAGACAGTTTTAGTTATTGTTGAAGTGAATTGTTTTGTGCCATAGAAACAAAATGCGCGACTCTGTATAGCGACATTCCTGAATGGGTGTAAATTTGGACATTTCAATTAGCAGTTTTGGAGGAATACATGAATGAAATATTACAGCATCACATTTGCTGCTACATGCTTTGCTTATTCAAATAACTTAACCTAACCTAATAATGTTGTCAAGCCATGGAAGTTCCTATTTAATGAAAATGGATTTGGGCTCGAATCCCGAAGAAGATGACCATTTGTGGCCTATGAGTTGCCTGCTATCAGCTACGTGGAATGCGAACGTTTCAAACCTACAAGTTCTCAAGTCATCTTGAAGAATTAAAACGCGACTATCCTAAATTTTTTGTGGAATGAAAACTTACTAATTTTAGAACCTTCCAAAGTTGGTATCACATATGAAGATAATTTGTAAGAGGCAATTCTTGTATACAATATCTAACACTTTGTCATGCGATGTAAAAATGTAAATCAAAACAATATTTGATTACAATCAGAAGATAGAATTTTGATTCAGGCGACTGATTTGTTGAAGTACGAACAGTTTGCAACTTTTTGCGGAAGAAAGAAGTCGGCAAAAATCTTTGTTTCAGTAGTATATCTGGTAGAAAATTTTTCAGAATAGATTAGGTATTTGAAACAGAGCGATGTGTGATAGCGATTTTTACAAAATTAGTTCTAATGGAATCTAGTTGATCACATCGGGAGTTTCATCGTCATCTGAATTTGGATCACACTTCTTTTCCTTATTTTTGTATTTTTATGTTAGGGCATTAAAAAAATAAATAAAAAGAAAAAGAAATTTTCATTTTACTACTTAACATTTCAGAAATTTAAAAAGAAAATTAGACTACCAAAGAAGGTACTATTCGGTTTCGAGGGCCGTAAAAAATCGCCAAATTATTGTTGATGCCAATGCTGCCAAAAATAATTGCGGCAAGAAAGGAAGTATAATAGTAAATAACTATCTAAGATTGATGTTTTAATTTAGATTAAAGGTTAATTTCATATAACACTTTTTTATTATTATAATTTATATGAAAAAGGCTAAATTTGACTGAATGGAAGCATAAGAGTAAATAACTATTTCAGATCATTATTTTAATTTATGTAAAAATTGCTAAACATAACTGAATGGATAAGTTATTCGCTATTTCGCTACCGACTATCGCTAAAGCATAATTTCATCTCGTTGGTTGTTCAAACGTAATTTTCTATAATGAATGATGCCTTGTCTTTGAAAATATTCTCGGTAAAGTGCAGAATCGCTCACGTATTTGTTTGCCGCTTTTTACAAGGGTAAAAACAATTGCATTTTTGTCAATTTTCTTTTACTTTTTAAGTGAAAATAGGTCGATGTGTACATAGATAACGTCAAGGGTGTGCGCAGTGCCATTTTTGTGCAATTCTAGGATTTTTTTTTAAAGTGAAAATAGGTCGATGGGCACATGGATACCGAGTATGTGCAATACTTAAAAACGCGTCAAGCAGTGGGTGAATCTGGACTTTACCCAAAATTCTATTTGCCGACTTTTTGTCATGGGCAATTCCCAAATTGTTAAATCCATAGGATACCAAAAAAGGATTTAAAATGAAAAAAGGATTTAAAAATTAAACTAGTATGTCAATGGCGTCTTAAGAAATATAGAACTATATAAACTTACGCAATCTGAAATCAACGTGTACGCTAGATTTTGCGCGCTGTTAATGGGTGCGTTGCTAGATTTGGCGCTTTGGCGCATACATTTTGCTGCAATTTTTTTACGGCCCTCAAAACCGAATAGTACCTTAAAGGAACATGTAAAACGTAAACATTTCTGCATTAGTTACAAATTATATGGCATCAGAATGTCTTTTATTAATTTCCTTGCCACTACAAATGTTCATAAAAAATAAAAATAAAATAAAATTTCTATTATATTCAAATGAGTTTATTGCTTTCAGTCGCTCAGTTTGTTAATCAGTAATGGTCTGAATGAATCTGAAAAATATATTTAAGATCATACGCTTTGCTAAACGAAATACTCTGTAAATCCTTTATGTGAAAGAGCGCATAAAATATAAATCTAAGTTTCAAATTATGGCAACAACTTCCAATGACCGCTTCTAAATTCTTCCTGTTCTTTTCATGCGTCAGTTTTTGCCAGAAGAAGTTTCTGAACGTTGAGTATAAACCACACATTTTCTTCGAGGTGTATATTTCTTTCGACGTGTATATTTAAAGTATTGCCATCTGTTAATAAATGACTATGAAATCGCATTTGATGTGACAGGTGTTTTGTTGATAATCTTGCTGCCACTGAAAAGTATCAAAATTTTATTATGAAGCATAATAATCCTGCTGATCTATGAAGAAGTGTATTACAGATATAGATCTAGTATTAACACTGCCCTTGTAGTTGGCGAATTTTACAGAAAAAAGAAAAATTTTTATTGTAAAGAAATATGCTTACACATTAATTTAGTTCACTTTGATAAAACTTTTCCCCCTCACAACTAGTATAAACAGGCGTCTCAAGACCAGAAGAGGAAAATGCTTATCTTCACTGTCATTGGCTGTATACCACGTGACACTCCCGAAACGTTTAGGCAAAGAATCTGTAAGAGATTCTTTGGTTTTAGGCGCTATTTCTGGTTTTTCGCCAACTGCAATTGTGTTTCTCGCCAATTGTTAGCGGTTTGTTTAAATCAAGGATATTGCTTTTTTTTTATTATCAAAATGGATATGTTTAAATGTAAATCTTGCAGTTCATCTTTTTATGCGAAAAGATATTGAAAGCGCATGAAAGCGCATGCACAAAGAATACACGAATTTAAATAATAAAGTTGCACCATTTTCGTGTACGTATTGTACGAAGCAATTTTGTACAAAAAATTCTTTAGCTAAACATAGGATACGTATCCATAATATAAGGCGAAGTAATATTAAATGCGGCGAAGACGAATGCCGGGAACTATTTCCTACTACAGGAGATTTAAGATCTCACTTAGAGACTTGCCATAATTACAGCAATATGACCAAATGTATAAAACTGGAGTTTCAAAAAAAGCAAGGTATGCAATGAACTTTTTATTATTTTGTTTTCCTAGTTCAATTATAAATAAGCAAAATATATTGCGTAACTTCTGTATATAGCCCTTAATCTTTTTACATTAAAATTAAATAGCTTCATTAAAGCTAGTTCAGCAATACATTTATTTGAAGAAACACCATATATATGGTATTATTAATTTAAGCTGTTTCAGCACACAAATATGCATTTATTTGAAAAAATTAACAAATTAATTACTTTGAAACATATAATTTCAGAACACTATAGTTTTAACAATTAAGATTATTTTTCTGTGTGGCTGCAATCTGCATATTTTTATTTACTAATCAGATGCCCTTATTATGAAAATTTATACATTTATTTATTTATTAGACTTTTATTCATGGCTATCGGATGAAGAAAGAAAAACAAAGACTCATTTTGTGGTAGATTCATCTGGGCAGAAACATAAAAATTACACCAGGACGCTGTTTTGCTGTAATAGAAGTGGGACATACAAAGCAAAAGGCAAAGGTGAAAGACAGCTAAAAGCACAAGGGACTTCCAAAACAGGTTTCTCTTGCACAGCTACTGTCATACTAAAAGATTTTGGCAATCGTTTTGAAGCTGTATATTTTAAAGAACATTACAAGCATGAAAAATCCCTTTGTCATCTCCCTATTCCTAAACAAGAAAAGCAAAGTATAGCAGGCAAGTTATGTGTTAGACCGTATTTTGATTGTATTAATTTCTCTTAAATAAAACTATAATTACTTATGCAGTTGGAGCCTTTCTAGCTGTCATTAATATACAGGTGGTTCAAAATTCCAAAAGTGAATGAATTTTAATATTAATGAAGTTGATAACGAAAATCATTCATGGAAAATTCAGATTGGGAGAGAAAACACGCGAGTGTGAAATTTAAAATTAGGCTTAACAGCAGACTTAATTTGCATAGATTTTAAATAAAATTATCAGCTTTGAGGACAATCAGACACAGGTATCTCTTCAGGAGTACAAAACTTTTGCAAAATGGAAGGAGTGGGGTAGAGCAAAGTAAAGATGAACGTAACACTGTCTGCTGTGGAAAATAATAATGAAGCATGTAAAACCAAGATATTATAATTCTAAATGTGTTATGAAGGAATTAACACATTTATAATTCTAATATCTTAATTTGTTATATTTCATTACTGTTTTATCTGAATGGTTCAATGTTTGTGTTTCTCTGTCAACTGCTTTTAATATAAATTTGGATAATTCTCTTGAAGAAGAGGGACCTTGAAAATGCTGAAGTTTGATTCAAAATCTAGATGAAACTAAGATTAATATTTTGCCTGATTTAAAATTATGGTAAATTGTTTTCTCTTGTATTTATGAACAGCATATTAAATATTTATATAAAAGTGATTAATTATCTATATTTAAGTAACCTGAGATTTGTAACAATTGTTTTTCTTATTATTAAATTAAGTATCATATTTCTTACTAATCTACTGTATAGGCATATTTGTAAATTTAAAGATACTTTTTTTATTCCATTAGTTTTTAGTATATAAGATACATCTGTCATGATATTTACATTTTTCAGTAACTATATTATACTAATGAGCTAATAGTCAGTTTAGAGTTTTCGCCAGTAATCTATTGTCACATTTGTGAACAGGTGGTGTGGCTACACCGGACGTTGCCAGAGCGGACACGTACAATTTCGCGATCAGAGCAGACACTTCGAAACTCATCGTGGTTAGAGCTGCACATCTTTTCCCCATCTTAGAACAGATAAAGGGTGCAGATAAATAAGTAAATAAATACTTTTAAAAATTGCAAATATAATTTAAAACAGTATTTTAAGTGGCAAATCTCTTTTACCGATGTTTTCTGTTTTTGCACTCGATTATCGAATTACAATGATAAATACATTTTTGCCAATCATATTTAATTATTTATATGTATTTAAATTGTTATGATATTATAGTGCGAATGCATTTTAAACATAGCGAAATGTAATAAAAATAAAAACTTTTGTGTAAATATAAAATGTAATAAAAATAAAAATTTCAGGGATTTTGTGGAAAACTGTATTTTAGAGTCAAATATTAGAACAGAACAGGTGCAGTTACCATAAAATTAATTAGCTGCATTAATGTAAGTAAAAATAAATATTAGAAGTAAAATATACAAAACAGATACTAGTAAATAAATACTAGCTATCCTTTATTATAAAGGCATAAATATAATTTACAATTTAGTCCAACCTAGTTACAAAACTTAAAGATTTTAGACATTTTTCTAAATTGTTTGATGTTTCGAATTCTTTTAGGATGTTTTTAATTCTTTCATCCAATTTTACATATGCTTTTTTCCTTGTTATTTCAGGGTCGCCTAATTCTCTGGCTTTCAAATTAAAAGACACTTTTTTTGTGTTTCTTCTTTTAGTATTTTAACTAATAAGTGCACAATAGGCTGGTTTCTGCCAGTGATTGTGTTTAATTTAGAATTCCACCTTTCAACAGAATTATTTGTCTTATGATGCTGTCCATGTACATTCCGTATTTTAATGGGCATATTTTGATTTTCCATTCACTACTCGACAAAAGAATCAATGAATGTGGTAAGTTTGTCAATGCTAAAAGCTTTTTCCTATACAATGCTCTAAGTATCATCTACATGTTCTATTGGCAAGTAAGCTAAGGCAGAAATCATTCTACAGACATGTCTTATATCTTCGTTCTCTTTATATTCCTTTATTACACCCATTTCTCCCCATTCATCTTATGTCACAAACATTGATTAAAATGAAAGTTACAACCGAATATAGTCGAACTGGGAAATTCTAACATACAGCTATTGATGGCTGCGGCTTCAAAATCAAATTTTATAATGTCCGGCTTCTACTTAGGGTACCAACATTTCACTTCCTGAAACATTGCAACTTACGTTGCTTGTGTCTTATAAGGCAGAAATGCAAAAAGCGCTGGATAAATATTGGTCTCAGTTGCTGTACTCCTTAAGTTGATGTTCAAATTTCAAAACACTTACTATTTTATATATTGTTGAAAGAATTGATTAGGGCAATGAAATGTTCATTAAAAAAAAATTTCAGTTGCAAGCTGATATTCTAATATCATACCATTGTTTGCATGGAATTCATATTTAGTAGGTATAAAATAATATAAAATTTTCTTTTCAAGTTCATATAAATGAAAAACTTTATTTTGCATATAGTATATATAATTTTTATCTCCTAATTATCTTTTTAAATTATTTCAGGTAAATTATTGCAGGGGGTGGAAGAGAAACGAATTTTGCAAGATGCAAGATTCTCTTCGAGAGATGATATTGAAACAAAACAGTTAATAACGAGAAAAGACCTGCATAACATTAAGAGGGATTTTGGTCTGAGCATTAATTCTAAAGGATTAATTTTAACAGATGATGAGACAAGTGTTTGGTCCTGGGTTAATACGATGTCGCAAATGGAATTCAACCCCGTTCTGATGTATAAACGTCAAGGAGAAAAATATGCAAATGTAAACGAAAATGATTTCATGTTAGCAATAATGACAGAATTTCAAAAAAAAAAAAAAATGTTGATAGAATTTGGTAATGATAGAATCTGTATTGATTCTACACATGGAATTTCTGCTTATGGATTTGAACTTGTAACATTGCTTGTCGTTGATAAGTATGAAGAGGGCATACCAGTTGCTTTCTTAATATCATCAACAGTATCAGAAAAAATTTTGGTAAACTTTTTTAACTGCATCAAAAAGATCATTGATATCAAGCCAAAGGTTTTCATGAGCGATGATGCTCCCATGTTCTATAATGCATGGGAGCATACATTTGGTTCTTGCCAAAAATTATTATGTGCTTGGCATGTGGACAGAGCATGGAAAGGTCATTTGAATTCTGTGCCAAAACATAAAAGACAAGCAGTGTACAAAACTTTAAAAACTTTAATGTATGAATTAGATGAAGAAATGTTCAACAAAATGTTAGAAACATTTTCTGAGCAACTATGTGAAGATGAAAGACACGCGAGAATTCCATAAATATTTTATGACATACTATTTTGAAAGAGCCAAAATGTGGGCATACTGTTTCAGAAAAGGGGCTAAAATCAACACCAATATGTATGTTGAAACATTTCATCGGAAATTAAAATATATTTATTTAGATGGGAAGAAAACCAAACGGGTTGATAAATGTATCATCGAGTTAATTAATCTTGTCAATGATCAAAAGTTTGACACTTACATAAAATATCAGAAAGGAAAAATAACAAAGAAGACAACAAAAACATTTCAACGTCATAAAGCTGCTGAGCTTTTAAATGCTAACTGTGTAAAAAAAGATGATGTATGGGAAGTTTCATCAGAACTGGGAGAAAATTCTTATAAAATTATCAGAGATCATGTTTGTAATGATTTATGCCTCATAACTTGTAGACTTTGTTCATGCTGTTTAAAAGCTTATAAATGTACATGCCATGATTATTCTATTTTAAATAATATGTGTAAACATATACATTTTGTAATCATGTCTGAAAAAAAGACAGAACCTTATATAGGCCCTCTAAACAGAATACCTACTAGGAATAATTATGAATCTTTAACAGTAAGTAAAACATGCATTAGTGAACTTATTCAATCTTCATTTTCAATTTCTGAAAAATTAAACTGCATTGAAAATATGGACATTAATCTTGCTACACAAATAAAAAAGCATTTAAATGCAATTGAACATTTATTAGAAGTTCCTTTGTTAGATAAAGCACATGCTTCAGTTTCAAAAGAACCAACAAATAAAAAAATTGTTCCCCAAAAGAGATTTTATTCAGTTAAAAAACGAAAAGTGTGTAAAAAAGTACAGTTTGGAAATCCTTCAACAGCAGAAAAAAATAATACCAAACCTATTTTATTAAATCAATTAATTGTTAATTCAGATCCCAGCCATGATCATTTGTATTGCAGTGAATTGAATGCCAAAAGTTTAAAAGAAAAGTCACTAAATAATGTTTAAGAAAATTATGCTATTTAAGTATTTTTAAAATTTGTGTATTTATAACAAATTATTTGATTTTTATGTAACTAATCTGGATGTCTCATTTTAATTTAATTATGTATCTTATTATAAATTTAATAAAATTGTTATAACTGTTCTACTGTATATCTAAGCTATGCATTTATCCTATACTTAATCTACGCATACATTAAATCTATTTATAAAGTCATGCTTTATAATAACTATTCTACTGTAAATGTGAATTACACATTTATCATATACGTAATCATTGTCCAGTTAGGTGATAGGATTGCTGATGTTTCTTTAAATAATGAGTCCAGATAAGCAGGATGGTATGAACAATTTATTAGGAGAATAGGCACAATACTATTACACACAGAACAAAAATGGCTGAAAACAAATCAAGGAGAATAGGGATATTTAGCAATTCACTTTTAGCTCATGAAATAAATTCTAAAGTTTCCTAAATCACTCTCTCAGGATAAACACTAACTTGTAATTCAGCTAACTGCAAAGTCTGGCACCTGATTCACAAGCTCTCTTGTTCTCAGACCCGTATTTATACTCTGCAGGATGTGTTATGCAAGATAAATGCAAAGTTCGTTATGACACGAAAACCTATTTTCGAAGCCCTGTGACCAATTCATCCAGAAGTTTCTAGAGCCATGCTGCAACAGGCATCTCAAGATAGATAACGCAAAATGCTTATCTTTACTGTCATTGACTATATCACATGACAGTCCTGAAACGTTTGTTGGCTCTATTTCTAGTTCTCCTCCAACTGCGTATCTCGTCAATTGTTAGCAGTTTGTTTAAATCAAAGAGCTTGCACTTCGCTTTCTTTCTTTTTGCTTTTATTACTGAGATGGATATTTAAACATATCCATATTATATAGATATTTAAACATAATGCAAATCTTGCAGTGCATCTTTCTATGTGATGAGATATTTAAAAGCACATAAACGTATGCACAAAGATACCGTCGCTAAAGTTACGCCATATTCGTCATCAATTTTAAGCAAACACAGAATATGCATTCATAACGTAATGTAATGTGAAAAAATATTAAATTCAGTGAAGTAGGATGTCTAGAACTGTTTCTCACCACAGGAGATTTAAGATCTCACTTTTAAGTTAGTTTTAAGTCACTTTAAGATTAAGATTAAAGACTCGCCATAATTATAATAACATGATAAAATGTATGAAACTTAGAGTTCCATAAAAAACAAGGTTTGTAATGATCTTTTCCTTATTTTGTTCTTTAGTTCAATTATAAATAAGAAAAATATATTACGTGACTTCTGTATATAGCCCTTAAACTTTTTATATTCAAATTAAATAGCTTAATGAATACGGTGTTATTCATTAAAGCTATTTCAGCACACACATTTATTTGAAAAAACATATATATGGTATTATTAATTTAAGCTGTTTCAGCACACAAATATACATTTATTTGAAAAAATTAGCATACATTAATTACTATAAAACTTATAATTTCAGAACACTATAGTTTTAACAACTAAGATTATTTTTCTGTGTGGGTGCAATTTGTATATTTTTATTATAATGTCTTATAAAAATTTAACAAAAAACGCAACTTATTTTTTTTATCTACTGCCATGTATAATTTGTTGTACTACTTGTTCCTTAATATGGAAAAGTTGTTATAAAAGTGCACAGTATGGCTCATAATTTGATTTCAATGTCTCACTTTAACTTTTTTTTTTTTTTTTTTATTTTTGTCTTTTGACCAGGAGAATTTATTATATTATGAATTATTATTATTGTTTTACATATATTATTATTAGTTACTGATGAAGATCAATAATGGTTTTGGTTTGGTTTATTTAATTACGGCTATCTGCCTAAGGGAAGGGATGCCTTCGTGGAGGACTTTCTAAGGGAAACTGGCTCGTATACACGTTACACATGGGAAAAACCATGAAAACGCCTATGAAGACAGCCCATTCACAGGATTCGAACCTCGGACCGAACTACCAGTGTTCAGTGTCTTAACCGCTCGGCCTCTGGTGGGCTATATGAAATAACGAAAATTTGCTATCTTTGCTTTATTTCCAGCATAAATGCAAGTGTTTATTTTAGGAAAATAAAGCTGAATAAAATTTGTATATTTTTGCTAATTTTTTGAAAGATAATTTTAACTATTTCATTTGTATTATGGAGAATAACGAGAATGAAACAAGTAAAAACCTTTCATCAGATAACAAATAAGCGAAGATGCCAAATTTGAATATTAAGCGATAAAAAATTTTGAGAGCACACTACTCATACTTATCTCAGATGTTAAAAATCTGTTGGTTTATATAAAAAGTTGACTAATTCTTAATACAGAATACTATAACAATGCAAGCACTGACATAGTTTTCATAACCCTACATTTAAAAAACATTATAATTTAAAGATATAGCTTTTCCTGAAAATACACCATAAAGTACCACATTTAACCAATTTGTTACAAGCTTGATACCATGTGAGCAAACTTCAAACTGCATATCAGTTAGATTAAAAATGAAGAACAAGAACTGAATATGAATAAGGTACTAAATTTTTAAAAGTCTATAATATAAACAGGCTAAATGAAATAATGCATAAGTGTATATTTAAGTATTTATGGTATTAATTTTAGAAAAACACCTATTGACTCAGGAAAGTTTCGTGAAATTTAAACCAAGTACTGAAGTTGCATTCATGCCAAAATGAAACCACACTTTTTATATGCTCATATTTTATTGTGGAATGTAAATACAAGTAATCAGGAATACAATGAATTCACAATATTAAAAAATCACAGGTGGACATGAAGAATAATCTTACGAACACTCTATAAAACTGCTTTTAATTTTTATACAACATATGAAATTACCTTGAATTATAGAAGAAAGGTAGTTGAACAAATATGAAAATGAGATTTCATAACCAGGATAACTTCATGCAAAATTAAGAAAGCAGCTGCTAGAAATATTGATACTCTTCTGTTATGAGGATTGATTGTATGTATGTATATATATGTGCATGTCTATTTGTGTGTGTATGCATACATATATATATGCACATGCAAAATATATATACCAATTGTGGCCAATGTGCGGCTCGCGAGCCTTATACGGCTCTTGCAGGCAATTTGTGCGGCTCATGCATATAAAATATATGTATGAAATATGGTAAACTAAAACTATTCAGTGTCCAAAAGGAAGTAATTAATTAGTTTAGACTCTTTTTACAAAGTTATCAGGGATTTCTTTCTATTTAAAACCTCCTCCACTACTTCTATAATGATGTAAATATGAACTTGTGGCTTTTAGAAAATTTAAATGCAGCTCTCGAACATTCCTGAATTCAAACGTGCTTACTGAAATGAAGTTTGGCCAACTCTGATATGTACATTTCTGAATCTGGTTCCGATAACAGAACAGGGCCAAAATATCTTGTGAAAGAATATATATTGAAATGCCTCACATTATTTATTAAGTGAAATGGATTTGAAAAAAAAAAAAAAAAAAAGGTACATAAGTTGTATCTTCAAAATAAACAATATGTTAATATGTAATTCCTTAACATCAGAAAACATACTGACAAATTATCAATAACATAAATGATATTCTAATGGAAATTATAAGTAGATACACTTATAACTATTAAACCAGTCTGCAGTTATAAATATAGCAATTTTAATTTTGACATCAGTTGCAAAAGTATTGCATATAGCAGAAATATACTTTAATTCACAATGGCATTACCATAATATTCCTGTCATTGCAACTTACTTATTATAATACAAACCCAGTTATTTCAAATCAATTTCTATATAATTCCTGTGTAATATAGTACTTCAAATATACTGTTTGGTATGCCTGTTCACACTTGAATTCTTAATTTTGTTTTATAATTCTTTAATTATGACCGGAGAAATGCATGCAAATAATTCCATATGTTATAAAATGCGTTATATATTCCATTTTAATGTGATCATATCTTTACTTTGAACATCAAAATATGATTTTAGTCTTTGAAATATATTCATCTCATAAAGTGGTAAACAGCACATCGCAAACTAATGAACTACAATATAATATAAACAGTGTTAAATAAACAAAATGTTGTATTAACATTTAGGCCTGACTCTGGCTCACTTTGAAAAAACTGACACCACTTCTGAACCTTAATGTAAATTTTTAAGCAAACTGTTGCTCCTTTTAATATTCCCCATCTTACTGAATTATTTTGGTAATTCATCACAAACGATGCAACTAGCAATTATGATATGGCGTTTTTATTTTGGCGATTTAAATTAAACCAGTGGTAAACTTACAAAAAAGTAAATGCTGACGTCCAAAAAGAAAACCAAGTATCGCATTTTCCTCTTCTGGTCTTGAGACGCCTGTAGGAAACTGGGAACCCTCCCTCCTTACCAAGGAGGCTCCCTACAGATTCTTTGACTTGAGTTTAGTTGGCTATGGTCTATCTCTCTGAAATAGAAGGGATTAACACATTGGCAAGTACGAAACATTTTAGTGCTCTTAGTAGAGAATTAAGATGCAATAGAAGTAAGTTGCCACATTGAGAAAATTTACAGTAATACGACAATAAAATGCAAGACTGTACATAAATATGTAATAAGACGAAACCTACCATGCTGCAAAATGTGTCTATTGCGCATGCGTGAAGCATAAGCCATGCGAGGGCTAGACGCTACTAGAATCAGCCAACTTCCCAATATCATTTTTGCTAGTGTGTACGAAGGAGGACGTAGTGAAGTTTTTAAAAACTTCACTGTCTGTTTACTTTCTTTATATAAAGAATATTTTATTCAAGCTGGCGTTATGTATAAATGGGACGCATTTAACTGAGGATGAACTTCGTTTCGCTGAAAGGGTTAAAGAAGATATAAATTCTTTTATGAAAATATCTGGCTTTGAAAGGTAATTTATATTTTTCAGTTTGAGAATTATAGTTATTGAAAATACAGTTATGCGCACTTTTTTTTATGTGGAACGCCCGAAAGCGTTGTTTATTTTGTATGGGATGTGTACATACATTTTATGAAGTAATGATTGTCTTTTTTTCTGAAAATTTTCGGTAAGATACATGTTGCTGAAGTATATTTTTTGTTTATGCGCAAAACCGTAAGATCATAATAAAAGAATTTTTGTCCAATTTATGATTATGTTATTAAATATGAAGTGAGGTAATTAGTTTAGTAGCATCGCTTACATCTTTTAGTATATGTATTATTAAAATTGAAACAGCCCGCCCCAAATGACGAAGTTTTTACAGAGGAAAATACACAAAATAGGTCAGTTTATCGTTGATTTTGCTGCGGAATAGACCGTGTCATATGAAATTTAAAATAGTTATATGTTCCTTTCATTTATAAACTGGAAAACTCAGATAAGTAGATTCACCTGGTTTTTGTGCTTTTGTTTTTACATACGCTATCATATCCCTTTGCTTGTATTCTCTCTAGTTCTAAGTAATTATATATTTCTTTTGGATTCTGTATTTTGTTTATTTTTCAGCATGAATTAAAAATTTTTGTTATAGCATTTGTTAAATAATCTTATTAATTTTGCAGTGTTATACTAACTAACCACGCAATTTTTGGGTTGCTATATAAAATCAACTAAATTTTTTAATTTTATTTTTGTTTTATGGATGTGCGGTATGTATAGTATTTAGAATATCAGTGTAAATTTTCATGCTTTTTTTTTTTTTTTTTAATTGGCACAAAGCATTTTCACTTTTCAAGTTCTGCATAATAGTGTGGTAGCTGAATTTCAGTGAGTAGGATATCCCTTGTTGTTTGTTCTGATAAGGTTAATGAGGTAGCAGTTGAACTTCTAACTGAAATAGCTTGATAAAGCAGTCAGTAAAATATGAGTATAAATTAAAAAAAAATATGAGGATATTGAATAACTATGGAAAAATGTCATTCATTTAAAAATGTGTGTAGGACTACCTTAAAGCAGAATGTTTTGCATTGTTCTGTAGCAAGCCTTCATTTTCTTAAAAACATTCTTCGGGAGATGTATCTGAAGTTTATGTAGTCGTTAGTAATGTATGTAGCATACTACACATTTTTAATTTTATAAAATATAATTTCTTTTTTATATAAAATGCTAAAACATTCAACACTAATGCACAAATCTTAGATAATTTAGGATAAATTCTTTCATTGATCAGTTTGAATATATATACAGTCAAAAGTCGTTAATTCGGACACCCATAATCTGGACCTCAAAGCTACAAACTTTCTGCGCATGCGTCGTGTTGATGCATGCGCCTAAGACCTTTACGGCTGCGAATATGCATGTGTGCATGCGCATAATACGTTTACGCTTGCACGTTTAATGTATAACGGACAGTATAAGCTAAGCTAAAATTATCTAATTTAGTTAATGTTGCAAATTGCGTTGTTCCTTAATCTTCGAATTGGATCTGGCTTATTATTTTTTGCAGACTGTTAGAGCAATTTTATAAAAGTAAGCTTGAACTTTCGATTATGTCAAATAGAATTTACGATATATATTTACTAATATGTAAAGGATGTACAAAGCGAAAGTATGTTTCGAAGTCCATTAAACAAAAAGTGGAATTGCTGCAAAAAATGGAAAAAGGCATATCCTTCGTTTCCGTAACCATTCTGAAATCTGTTTATCAATTTCACGCTGCTCTGCGGGGGGGGGGGGCAACATCGCGCAATGAATTGGAAGTTGATCTGTCAGCACTATCCTTATCTGCAGGGGCAGATGTTTTTATTTTATTTGGCTTATAATTCCTTACCAAATGTAGTTCTTCATCTCGATGTACTCCGTCTTTGATATGATTTAAAGCAAATTCCTCGTCATTATAATTCGCTTCCGATAGTGAAGAAAGTGACACAGAGGTTATTGAAAACGAAAAAATTTCAATTGACAAATTAGTCGGTATTCTTGACACAGCAATTATAGGACTTAAACAGCAGATCTTTGTAACTAAACAAGAAATTATGTCTGTTTAATATAATTAAAGAGAAAGTATTATCACATGAAATGAAGCAACTTAAACAACTTACATTGAAAGAAATGTTTAATAAAGTAAAAAAATAAATATTAAGCTTTTTCTTTTTGTAAATTTTGATACCCTTTAGATCATAATTGTTCTTTATTTCATAAATTACGGTTTCATATTTTTAATTTTATAATTTCTGCATGTCATCTTACCAGATTTAAACTGATGATCTATAATCCGGAATCGCCGATGAATCGCGCAATGAATTGGACGTTGATCTGTCAGCACTATCCTTATCTGCAGGGGCAGATGTTTTTATTTTATTTGGCTTATAATTCCTTACCAAATGTAGTTCTTCATCTCGATGTACTCCGCCTTTGATATGATTTAAAGCAAATTCCTCGTCATTATAATTCGCTTCCAATAGTGAAGAAAGTGACACAGAGGTTATTGAAAACGAAAAAATTTCAATTGACAAATTAGTCGGTATTCTCGACACAGCAATTATAGGACTTAAACAGCAGATCTTTGTAACTAAACAAGAAATTATGTCTGTTTAATATAATTAAAGAGAAAGTATTATCACATGAAACGAAGCAACTTAAACAACTTATATTGAAAGAAATGTTTAATAAAGTAAACAAATAAATATTAAGCTTTTTCTTTTTGTAAATTTTGATACCCTTTAGATCATAATTGTTCTTTATTTCATAAATTACGGTTTCATATTTTTAATTTTATAATTTCTGCATGTCATCTTACCAGATTTAAACTGATGATCTATAATCCGGAATCGCCGATGTCCCGACGAGTCCGGATTAACGGCTTTTGACTGTATATATGTATTTTTTTTAAGGAGGGAGAGTGCATTAAATTGCTTCGGGGCCGCCATTTTTGTCGCAAGTGGCTGAACATCCGTATAGGACATTTGGATGCGGTCGGCGAATGTATTTTAGTTATGCATTTGTTGCAAAGATATGTTTTACTTATTTGAAGTTTTAGTTTATTTTACATTTATTACTGTTAAACATGAACATGGGGAACATGTCAGAAAGATATATAAATATAAATCTTATTCAACAATGACTTGAAGATACAAATTTAATTAACTTTTATTTTTTTTTATTTTATTTTTTTTTTTTTTTGAAAAAATGCTCATGTTTTGGCTAATGGTTTAGATTTTTTACTGATATACCCAACTTTTAATCCATTAAATCCTCTATATGAAGAAATCGGTGAAATATGCTTGACTTGGGAAAACAGCCGAGTAATGTTTGTTTAATATTTTATGCTAACTTATTAGCATTTTTAAGTCTGATTATTATTCTATTGCATTTTAATAATTATATTTAAATATAAGTTTGATTATGAGGGGTTAAAAAACTGCTTTTTTGATATAGGGTGTCTTTCAGCAGCTGAAGGGTAAAATTGTTGCACACTGGTAGTTCGTCTCGAAGTCAAGCCATGGCAAAAACACTTCCCTCTCCTTAAAGCAAATAGCCCGGGAGTGCTTTTGATATTTTAAATAATCCTAATCATATTTATACATGGACATATTTAGAAAAAAGGCATTTGGTTAGATTAAACAAATAACTTCCATAAATTAAAAAATATATATATATATTTGTTCCGAAATGGTCCTGAGGAAATAAAAATCCATTTCATTTTAAAATATTACGGTGTTTATTTTTACGAAAAGAAAATGAAAACGTAGTTTGAACAGACTCGCACCTTTATTATCATTAAGCTCACCTGCCAGATAGAATACTCAATTTCTGTTGCCATTCCAAAGAGGTAAGTATAAAACGATATAACTGTATTCATTTTAAACATTCTCCATACCTTGCAAAATGGGGATTTTGCAACATCAATATAACTTAAAGTTTCGAAACTAAAATTTAAAAGGATTTTGAAAATCAATAAAGTTCATATAGTTCCAAATTGTCAATAAATTCATAAGTCCAGTTTTTGTGGAGAATTTACTTCTGTGCCAAGACGAGTTTTTTCTAAAACACATTAGTTATTTCCTGTTCTTTGATAGGTGTATATTGAACCTTTTGATCGTTTTGTTTTATTTTATAAATTTGATCGTCTCCTACATTATTCTCCATGAAACAGAGTTTATCTGAATTATTGTTTAGTTCGAAAGGGAAGAGGCATTGAACTGGCCTAAGTACAACTACAGAGGATATTTGGTTGATCTTTACATTATGGTAACTTGGCGTTTTTTTGGCGAAAATTTGGCGACCAACTCTCCTACAGCAACCCTCTATTTTTTTTTCCCCGCCGCCATTTTGTCTCCACGAAGTAAAGACATGTTTCTTTTCTTTTTATCTACTGAACACTTCTTCCAACAATCTACTAGCCGAATTACACTTATGCTAGAATTTTTATCTAACAAAACTGCTTAATCTTAATCATGAAATATTCACTGCAAAATTGGGAAAAAGTGCACAATGCCATACTCCTTACGCGTTTTTTCAAAATAACACATACACATAAACCATGTACCCACACGCCGACGATTATTTTTACTTTAAAAAAAACATCCCAGAATTGCACAAAAATGGCATTGCGCACACTCTTCACTATATCCATGTACACAGCTTTTTTCTCATAAATTAGAAAAATTTCACGAAAATACATGACAATTTTCTCAATCTTTAAACCAGGTAAAAAGAACATATATGAAATTACCTGATCGCGAAAAAGTATTTACCCTTTCCAAATATAAACATTTCCACATATAAAATAAATAAAATATCCAAAAACTTTTACCTCTAAATCATCTATTACATTATACACGTCACTAACGAATTCATACCGCAAGCATTACAAATACTTAGTATCAAATATTTAAATTATTTCCATGCACGTTTACTTCAACTTAAACGTGTACCAATTCCTACAAACATAAAATTCACAAAATAAA